CAGGGCTGGGGAAGCCGCTGAGTCACCCTGGCTCCACCCACTGGATCTGGGCCCTGCCCCCAGAGATCAGGCCGGCTAGCCACAAGTGAGCCGAATGGGTCCTAGATGGGGGTCCTGGGCCCCAGGGTGTGCAGCCACTGCCTTGGGGACTATTGGGGCAGGGATGAGGGAGGGAGGGGCATTGTGATGTACAGGGCTGCTCTGTGAGGTCAAGGGTCTCAGGGGTGGGGACCAGGGCAGGGACTACAAGAGCAGCCGGATGGGTTGACAGTAGAACTCATAGGGTTTCCGGCACCCGCCCACCTGTTCCCAGTGGGAGGGTGGAGGGTTGGCCTGGAGTCTTAGGTGTGGGGCAGGGTGGAGAGGTGGGCTCCTCCTGCCTTCCACTGATCCTGTAGCTTTTTTTCCTCAGATCCGAATTCGAGATCCAAACCAAGGAGGGAAGGATATCACGGAGGAAATCATGTCTGGGGCCCGAACCGCCTCCACACCCACTCCTCCCCAGGTATTGTCTGCTAAGTAACACCATGGCTGGGATGGCTATTCTGCTCTGGACTCCCAAGTCCGGTGGTCTTTTCCTTCAACTAAGGGATTTATTTCCCTGCTTCCTGGATTTCTAGGTAGAGCTAAAGTAGAAATGGCTCTAGTAAAGAGGGTTGTGGGCCTCTTTAGGGCAAAGTTGGTAACATTTTGTGTCCTGCAGACGGGAGTCGGCCTGGAGCCTCAAGCTAATGGGGAGACTCCCCAGGTTGCTGTTGTTGTCCGGCCAGGTGTGTAAGCATATGGAGCAGAGCTTTTACGGGGAAAAGGAGTGCGACAGTTTAAAATGCCAAGGAGGTGTAGAAAATAAAATAAAATGACAAGGAGTTGGGGTGGTGGCTTGAACCAGGTGCCAGAGAAGAATGACTTAAGTTTCAGGTAGTGGATTTTGAGTGTGGGTTGGGTTTTGGGTGAAAAGAGAAAAGGCTTAGGTGGGAGAAGACTGGGGGAAGGGAGCATTAGGTTGGGAATGCCTTGGCTGGGAGGCGGAGGTGGAGGAACAACAGAGAAAGACTTGCCTTTAATTACTCATTCTTCTTCCTGTGGTGCAGATGACCGGTCACAGGGAGCAATCATTGGGGGCCGGCCGGGGCTGCCTGGCACAGAGCATAGCCCTTCAGAATCGCAGCCTTCATCACCTTCTCCGACCCCATCACCACCCCCAATCTTGGAACCAGGATCTGAGCCTAATCTTGCAGTCCTCTCTATTCCTGGGGACACTATGACAACGGGGATAATACAAATGTCTGTAGAAGAATCATCCCCCATGCCCCGTGAAACTGGGGAGCCATATTGTGTCTCTCCAGAACCCACTCCCCTCGCTGAACCCATACTGGAAGTAGAAGTGACACTTAGCAAACCAATTCCAGAATCTGAGTTCTCTTCCAGTCCTCTCCAGGTTTCCATCCCCCTGGCATCTCCCAAGGTGGAAATTCTTCCTGAGCCTAATGGCACGGTCCCATCTGAGGATCTAGAACCAGAGCTAGAGTCCTCAAACCCAGAACTTTCCCCTCTCCTTCCTCCCGCTTGTCCCTCTGAATCCCCCATGCCTATTGCTCCAACTGCCCAACCTGAGGAACTGCTCAATGGAGCCCCCTCACCACCAGCTGCGGACTTGAGCCCAGTCAGTGAGCCAAAGGAGCAGGCCAAGGAGGTTCCAGCACCAGTGGTTCCCCGCACCATCCCCTCTGCCACTCCAGCTATGGCTCCTCCCGTGACTTCCCCTGCTCCAGAGGAGGAAATGGAGGAGGAGGAAGAGGAGGAGGAGGAGGAGGAGGAAGAAGAACCTGGAGAAACTGAGAGTGAGAAGGGAGGAGAGGAACTGCTTCCCCCAGAGAGTACCCCTGTTCCAGCCCACCTGTCCCAGAATTTGGAGGCAGCAGCAGCCACCCAAGGTAAGATGCGGCTGGATGGTGGAGGTGGGTCAAGCCTGGAGGGTGTGGTTCTTTCTATTTATTGATCTCCCATTTGTGCTGTTATGTCTGGGTCAGAAGCTCTGTGATGGAAACTAAGAACTAGATTAAGGAATTTAAGAGAGGGTGTGATGGAAAGAGGAAATGTTATACAGTGACTGCTTATTCCCCCTTTTTTTTTTTTTTACATATCAATATATACAGTGATTATTCACCAAACACAGTGCTACTCAGAAATAAGTAATTTTATCTTTTCACATAAGCATTTGTGTTGAATCTCAAAATTTCTATGTACATGGAGGAAACGAGTATTTGTTACAGAATACACACCAAGTAGTGCCTATAAAATTATGAACAATATGAACTATTCTATTGTAAAGAAAAGAAAATCCATGACTCCATTGAGGGCCAAGAAATGCAGAAAGAGATTATAACAGGGTATTAGGAAAATATAGGATGTGGCAAAAGTAGGTTTCGAGTTGCTGGTATGGAAAATAATACATTAATAAGAATAATATTAATAATACAGGGGCACTTCTTAAGTTATTCCCATTCCTTGTCTCCCCCCCCCCACCCCCCCGCCCTAAATATAGTGGCAGTATCTGTGCCAAAGAGGAGACGGAAAATTAAGGAGCTCAATAAGAAGGAAGCTGTAGGAGACCTTCTGGATGCCTTCAAGGAGGTAAGGAAGCAGATAGTAGCAGAGGGCAGAGTTTGGGTATGGAACAGTGGCTGAACTGCAACCAAATGGAATGTCCCCATGGTTGCAGGCAAACCCAGGAGTACCGGAGGTGGAAAATCAGCCTTCTGTAGGCAACAACCCCTGTCCAGAGCCTGAGAGCAGCAGTGTGCCCACACGACCTGAGGAACCAGATGAGACCTGGGACTCAAAGGAAGACAAAATCCACAATGCTGAGAATATCCAACCTGGGGAACAGAAGTATGAATATAAGTCAGGTATGCTGAAGGAAGGGTTGAGAGGGCTGAGTACTCTTATCAGGACTCAGGAGACAGTACGGTTGGTTCATCTGTCTTCCTTACAGATCAGTGGAAGCCTCTAAACCTTGAGGAGAAAAAGCGTTATGACCGTGAGTTCCTGCTTGGCTTTCAGTTCATCTTTGCCAGTATGCAGAAGCCGGAGGGACTGCCTCATATCAGTGATGTCGTATTGGACAAGGTTGGTGGGCTTGAGGGGAAGCTAAGTTTGTACTGCCTGGCTGGCTGGATGGGGAGGAGCCCGAGGTCCTGAAAGAGCAGTGGCCCTAGCCTGTTTCTGATACCTTCTCTGTTCTTTTCACAGGCCAATAAAACACCACTGCGGCCACTGGATCCTGCTAGACTTCAAGGCATAAATTGTGGCCCAGACTTTACTCCATCCTTTGCCAACCTTGGCCGACCAACCCTCAGCAGCCGTGGGCCCCCAAGGGGTGGGCCAGGTGGGGAGCTGCCCCGAGGGCCGGTGAGTGGGACTAGCTAGATGGGCAATTGGGCAAGGGAAGTGGGGATGTGTGGCTTTCTGTACCTCATTGGGGAATGAGAAGTTTGCCCTGAAGATGTGTGGTAGTGGTGTCAGGTTGTGCTGAGTACTGTATCTTCTCTTGTCCTCATCCCTTGCTTAGCAGGCTGGTCTGGGACCCCGGCGCTCTCAGCAGGGCCCCCGAAAGGAGCCACGCAAGATCATTGCTACAGTATTAATGACCGAAGATATAAAACTGAACAAAGCAGAGAAGGCCTGGAAACCCAGCAGCAAGCGGACAGCAGCTGATAAGGACCGAGGGGAAGAGGATGCTGATGGCAGCAAAACCCAGGTACTGGCAAGTCCTTTGGTCTCTATTCTTTCTCTTCAGGGTTTGCTGAGCCAACTTTGCTTATTTTGCTTCTGTCCATCCTATCCCTGGCCTCTTCATTCTCATACCCTTTTCCATCCCTCCCAGTGGCCTCTGAGAACCTCACTGGATCCTATTCCCTCTCCCACCAGGACCTGTTCCGCAGGGTGCGCGCCATTCTGAATAAGCTGACACCCCAGATGTTCCAGCAGTTGATGAAGCAAGTGACGCAGCTGGCCATCGACACTGAGGAGCGCCTGAAAGGGGTCATTGACCTCATCTTTGAGAAGGCCATTTCAGAGCCCAACTTCTCTGTGGCCTATGCCAACATGTGCCGCTGCCTCATGGCGGTTAGTTTCCACTATTTTCTAAATCATGTGGTCTGGCCTCCCACTTCTTGAGTCCAGCTTCTTGGTTCTCCTCCAGTCTGTGCTGTTGATGGCAGCCAAGAGGAGGCAGAGCCGTAGCTAAAGGTCTTCCTGGCTTTTAGGTAAAGACTGTGAGGGTCTTCCCTGCCCTAGACTAATCTGAATGTGACAATCTCTTTGACATACAGCTGAAAGTGCCCACTACAGAAAAGCCAACAGTGACTGTAAACTTTCGAAAACTGTTGTTGAATCGATGTCAGAAGGAGTTTGAAAAAGACAAAGATGATGATGAAGTTTTTGAGAAGAAGCAAAAAGAGATGGATGAAGCTGCTACGGTGAGAGAAAACCAACCAATTCCACTGCTTATTCAGAAGCTACTTAGCTGTAGAATTGGGGGTGGGGTAGTGGTATGGGGGTTTCTCTGCCTGAGGACATGAGTGCTTGTTGCTGGGTATAGAAATCCAGATGGTGGAGGAGTGCTTGTTGCTGGGTATAGGAATCCAGATGGTGGATATCCAGATGGCTGGGTGTCTTTTTGATGTGTTCCCTGTCTCATGACTGCCAGGCAGAGGAACGGGGACGCCTGAAGGAAGAGCTGGAAGAGGCTCGAGATATAGCCCGGCGGCGCTCTTTAGGGAATATCAAGTTTATTGGGGAGTTGTTCAAGCTGAAGATGTTAACAGAGGCAATAATGCACGACTGTGTAGTTAAACTACTTAAGAACCACGACGAAGAGTCCCTTGAATGCCTTTGCCGTCTGCTCACTACCATTGGCAAAGACCTAGACTTTGAAAAAGCCAAGGTAGGGGTCCTGGGATGTAGAAGGGGGCAAGCTGAAGTACGTGGGGCCTACTGTCCACTGATAAACTCCCTGTTGGGCTGTCATGTCTGGGCCACTGAATCTCAGTGATGGAGATAAGGGCCTGTAGCTGGAAGTTCCTGGCCTGATCTCTTTGCTGCTTCTCCCTAGCCCCGAATGGATCAGTATTTCAACCAGATGGAGAAAATAATTAAGGAAAAGAAGACTTCATCCCGAATCCGCTTCATGCTGCAGGACGTGCTGGATCTGCGACGGGTGTGTGTCCCCGCCTTCCCACTACTAATCTGCTGCCTCTGACACCATAGCCCCCAGTTGCTGCCTGCTTTGGCCTCTCTGATGTAATTATCTTGTGGGTGGCTTCATGTCCCTACAGAGCAATTGGGTGCCACGCCGAGGGGATCAGGGTCCCAAGACCATTGACCAGATCCATAAGGAGGCGGAGTTGGAGGAGCATCGGGAGCACATAAAAGTGCAGCAGCTAATGGCCAAGGGCAGCGACAAGCGTCGGGGTGGCCCTCCAGGTCCACCTATCAGTGAGTTTGAGGCTACAATTGAGGAGGGGCAATGTGAGGGGTTGTGCTTTCCACTGATGACTTCTTGTTAGTGCCACGTGTCTGGGCCACTGATACCCCATGATGGAACTGAGGATCTGAGGAAGTGAGGCTGGGGTCAGCTCAGGTGGACAGGGCTGTTTACTCACTATTTCAGTATGCTCTCCTTTTTGTTCCAGGCCGTGGCCTTCCACTTGTAGATGATGGTGGTGGCTGGAACACAGTCCCCATCAGTAAGGGCAGCCGCCCTATTGACACCTCACGACTCACCAAGATCACAAAGGTGTGTATGTTGGAGGGGGTGATGTTTGTAATAGGAGGGTAATGAGGGATCAAAGTAGGCATTAAACACAATTTGGGTCTCCGTCCCCTCATTCTCTGAGGTTGGGAAAGTGACAGCTGAAATTTTCCTCTTAGACTAACTGGTTAGATTACTAGAGACAGGACTGCCAACCCTAGGACGTGTGATCACATTGGTCTGGGCCACTCTGTGGTCAGCACACTGACATGCACACCAAATTAGGTAGGTCCATTCCTGTTCTGTGCATCTCCCAGGCTAAAATGATTTTTACTGGTCGGAAAAAAGTGAATGTTGTTATGTGATGTGAAATTATGTAAAATTTACATTTCACTGTTCATAGTTTTATTGGAACTCAACCATGTTCATTCCCTTTATTCTCTGTGACTGCTCTTGTGTGACAGCGGCAGTGTTGAGTAGTTAGAATAGAGACTGTGTGGCTGCAAAGCCTAAAATATTTACTATTTGGCCCTTTACAGGAAAAGCTTGCCTGGCCCCTGGTCTGGGCTGTTGATGGCTGTGTGGCTGGGGGCTTTGGCCAGGTCAGACCTATGACTCTTCACCCCCTTTCCTTCCTCAGCCTGGCTCCATCGATTCTAACAACCAGCTCTTTGCACCTGGAGGTCGATTGAGCTGGGGCAAGGGCAGCAGTGGAGGCTCAGGAGCCAAGCCCTCTGACGCAGGTAGGGAGGCCAATGTAAAGAGCTGGGTGATTAGTAATGAGCTCTCTTGAGGGTAGAGCATTGTCTCTATGGGAGGCTTGTCTCCTTGCCTGTCTGTGGGGTTTTCGGTACAGTGTGGTTAGGTAATGGAGGAGCCGTGGACTACTTGGTGGGACTAGGGACTGAAATGCTTTAGTGTTGGGGCTAGGACCAAGAGTCCTAACCTGGCAAGTAGGTGATAGGATGTAAGAAAATATATCTTAATCTTCATTTACTGCCTCCCCAGCATCAGAAGCTGCTCGACCAGCTACTAGTACCTTGAATCGCTTCTCAGCCCTTCAACAGGCAGCACCTACTGAAAGCACAGAAAACAGACGTGTGGCCCAGAGGTGAGGCTTCCTAGGTCTCTGTGTTTCACGCACATGGAGGATACCATGATTGGGTTTGGGTTCTTGCCATAGGAATCCTCACACACAACTGTGATGCTGAGAGGCCCTGGCTGAGCATGGGACATATTCCTGATGCCAAGAACAAGGCCTGATGGTTGCTCAGCATGTTGGGTAAAGGAGCGAACTCCTGGGCAGTACAGGTGAGAGACCATGTGCTTGTCTTTTTTCCAGGAGTAGCTTGAGCCGGGAACGAGGTGAGAAAGCTGGGGACCGGGGAGACCGCTTAGAGCGGAGTGAGCGGGGAGGTGATCGTGGGGACCGGCTAGATCGCTCTCGGACACCTGGTACCAAGCGGAGCTTCAGCAAGGAAGTGGAGGAACGGAGTAGAGAGCGGCCTTCCCAGCCTGACGGGCTGCGCAAGGCAGCTAGCCTCTCGGAGGAACGGGATCGCGGACGGGATGCTGGTAAGGGGTTGAGAGAGGAAGGGAAGGGAATGGTGTGGGCTGGTTAGGGACTAGTCAGTCCCTAGACAGTCTTCAGAGCTGCAGTTTGCTGGAAAGACTGGAACTGAAGAGTCTCTGATCTGTTTTGTACCCCTCAGGGAAGCGAGACGCCACCTTGCCTCCTGTGAGTCCCCCTAAGGCTGCACTATCAGAAGAGGAGCTGGAGAAGAAATCTAAGGCCATCATTGAGGAATACCTCCATCTCAATGACATGAAGGTTGGTAGTGGGAGGGGTCTGAGTGATGGTAGAGTGGGCAGAGACTGTGCTGCCTGGTATACATTGTAGGGTCTAGACCAGATTCTAACGGCTCTCTTTCTCCTGTACCCTGTGCCCCCTGCAGGAGGCAGTGCAGTGTGTGCAGGAGCTGGCCTCACCCTCTCTGCTTTTCATCTTTGTGCGGCATGGCGTCGAGTCCACACTGGAACGCAGTGCCATTGCTCGTGAACATATGGGACGGCTGCTGCACCAGCTGCTCTGTGCTGGGCACCTCTCCACTGCTCAGTACTATCAAGGGTATGACCGACTTCTGTGACCCTCCCACTTTTACAAAACTACAAATCCCCTTCCTTTGTAGGACCTGTGGAACTTTGGGGAAGAATGTAGGTTCCTCAACCATCCTGGTCAACATCATTTTTGTCAGGGGTAGGGGGTTGAGCCATCTAAGGACAAGAAGGTGTCCTTAGCTTGAGATAATTGCCCCATGTTTAGGAAATATTCCTGATGGGCTCCATGTTCAATTCTTTAGTCATGCCTTGTTACCCCAAAAGGAGGGTAGGCACCTGGCTCCTCTTTCCTAGAATGCCCTAACTTTGAATTCCCTTTGCAGGCTGTTTGAAATCCTAGAATTGGCTGAAGACATGGAAATTGACATCCCCCACGTGTGGCTCTACCTAGCAGAACTGGTAACGCCAATTCTGCAGGATGGTGGAGTACCCATGGGGGAGCTGTTCAGGTGAGCTCCCTTAGCTGGAAGTTGAGAGAGGTAGAAAGGGAGGGGGGGTGAGGACGGAGGGGTGGTTGGCTAAGGTGCCCATGTTTAGGGAGGGTTGGAGTAGTATGTTGAGGGCTTAACAAAAACAACTGAATTTTCTTATAGGGAGATTACAAAACCTCTGAGGCCCCTGGGCAAAGCTGCTTCTCTGTTGCTGGAGATCTTGGGGCTCCTATGCAAAAGCATGGTGAGTGAGAGCCTTTCAGGGATGATGTGTTCAGGATTTTTCCTACTGTGCTTTTTGGGCTATTTGGGGTGACACTGAAGCCTCTCCTGGTCCTTTGGCGGGATAGGGTTAATGGGGATGGATGGTAATGCTGTGTTAGTATCTGAGAGAGAGAGGCTGGTACTCCCTCAGACCAGTTCCTCTTAGAGTTCTGGTCAAGGCTGGAAAATGGGAATCTTAAGACCCTAGACCAGCGGTTCTCAACCTGTGAGTTGCGACCCCTTTGGCGGTCAAACGACCCTTTCACAGGGGTCACCTAAGACCATCCTGCATATCAGATATTTACATTACGATTCATAACAGCAAAATTACAGTTATGAAGTAGCAACGAAAATAATTTTATGGTTGGGGGTCACAACATGAGGAACTGTTTTAAAGGGCCAGAAGGTTGAGAACCACTGCCCTAGACCCTTGTTTGTTTCATTCTTTATTTATTCATTTATTATTTTTTTAATAAATATTGTTGAAAGTATTACATAGGTCCTTTTTCCCCCCCCATCGCCCTCTCCCCCATTCATTCATTTTTTTTAAACTAGTGTTTAAAGAAACACAAACATTTACTGGATAGTAGGCATTGATGATACAGCAGTGAATAAAAAAAGTTGAAAGAGGAAAAACGACTTAACAAAAACAACAGTGTGAAGTAAAGCATGAAATAAAGTGGTTGAAATTGAGTGTTTTAAGCACTGTGAAGTTGCAAAGGAGTGTCTGATAATGTTCATGATGGTATGCTTTCCTGGAAAGGTGCTGAAGCTGCCTAGTGTGAAAGTTAATTGTTGACTAGCAGGTAGAAAGGTGGGAAGATAGGAAAGGCAAGCTGGGTGTGGGGTTTAGTGGTAGGAGAAAGTTGGAAAGTGCAGTTTCAGAAGAGTTTAGCTACCTGGAACCTGGAGGAATGAGATTTGGAATGGAAAGGAATTGTTCTTTCAGCGTACATAATTATGTACCAGGATAATTTATGTTTAAAAAAAGAAAAAGCATGTTGAACTACTGTATTTTCATTGAATCTAAGGTGCCATAGATTATAGGATGCATTTATACTCTGCTAAGGAAAAGAAAAGACTTATGGTCATATTTTTAAAATGTAATATACTTCCCTAGCTGGTTTGGCTCAGTGGAGCCTGTGGACTGAAGAGTCCTAGGTTTGATTCCGGCCAAGGGCACACTTTTGGGTTGTGGGCTGGATCCCCCAGTGCAGGAGGCAGCCGACCAATTTCATCATTGATTTTTCTATCTATCTCTCCCTCTCTCTTCCTCTCTGAAATCAATAAAGATCTTAAAAAAAAATAACCATAAGAAATTGTAATATAATAACTGAGACAACTCCATTTCAGTGGTGTTAAAATCCATGAGCATCTTTAAAATCCATGAACTATAATTAATAATCCTGTTAAGGGTTGAGGTCATCATTTTGAATACCTGTGATTATGAAAGTGATCCTTTTCAGAATCTCTTGCCTTTTACAGGATATGGGCTCTCAGACTTGCTGTTTGT